AAAAAAAAAAAAAGAGTCAGAAAATTGGCCACAGTGTTTTAACTGCTCTCTTATGTCCTGTTAAATGCAAAACATTTGTTTTATGTTGACCACACCTGTGCACGAAGGCAGCCATCTTCAGGTACCTGAGCAATCCTGGGCCCCAAGGTGGCATTTCTCACTCATATAGGGGGTGGAGAGAGGGTATGCATATTCTAGTGATTCTCCACTAGGAGTGATTTTGTCTCCAGGAGACATTTAGCAATGTCTGCAGACATTTTAGTTGTCACCTAGTGGTTAGAGGCTGGGGGCATTGAAAAATATCCTGTATTACACAGAACACTATCTAATCTGTGCAAAGTGCTATCTGATCCTTAGTGTCAATAGCCGGTACTGAGACAGAGAAACCATGTTATAGGCACAGCTGAGCCTCAGTGGTGACATACTAGGCCATCTAAGCGAGACCCCCTAAAGCAAGCTTGTCCAACCCATATCCCAGGGACTGCAAGAGCCATGTGCGGCCCAGGACGGCTCTGAGTGAAGTCCAACACAAATGCATAAACTTTCTTAAAGTATTATGATTTTTTTTTTTTTTGCTCATCAGCTATCATTACTGTTAGCGTATTTTATGTGTGGCCCAAGACAATCTTCTTCCAGTGTGGCCCAGGGAAGCCAAAAGATTGGACACCCCTGCCCTAGAGTTGAGTGGTATCAGTCATTTAACAATGGCCTTTGGTGTTATTGGGGAGCAGGAAAATTGTTAAAAGCCCTAGGAAAATCCAAAAACAAATGGACAAGCCTCATCGTGAATAGATTTGGGAGAGCTAGGGACATACAACAGGTCTCTAACAAAATAACTACATATACTTCACTTTTATTTATCTATAATACATAGTTACATATTAACCTTCAAATACTATGTACCCCCGTACTCATTAAAAGCATGCAAAGTGCTTGCTTCAGAACAATGGTCATGAAACTATTCATACTCTGTTCTAAGAAAAAAGAAAAAAGCATTACATGAGGCATGTGATGGAAAGTCCAGGCCCCTCCAGGGGATGTTCCTGAAAACCTTCCCTAACACGTTGCTTTCTGTGAGAGAGCTACTATTTCTTTTCTTTTCCTTCTTTTTTTTTTTCTGAGACAGGATCTCATTCCCGGCTCACTGCACTCTCAAACTTCGGGGCTCAGGTGATTCTCCCACCTCAGCCTCCCAAGTAGCTGAGATTACAGGAATGCACCATCATACCGGGCTAATTTTTGTATTTTCAGTAGAGACGGGGTTTCACCATGTTGGCCAGGCTGGTCTCGAACGCCAGGCCTCAAGGGATCCGCTCACCTTGGCCTCCGATAGCGCTGGGATGAAAGGTGTGAACCACCATGCCCAGCCCTGGAAGCTGTTTCTAATGTTCCACCACGGGTCCGAGTCAGCGCCTCCACGGACGCTGCGGGCCTGCATCTCAGCCAAGTCTCACAACATGACTCTGTTTGTAAAGATGAGAATTTGAGGATAAGAGAGTTTTTCGCTGTTTTTAAACATGTTCGTTTACTTACTATTGCTATTTCAAAAATGACTAATATCCCCCCTCCCCATCTCACTCCTGTTTCCTCTATTTTTACTTTTAGCTGTAGCTCCTCTTGACTCTTCAAATCCAAAAAGCACCGTGCCTCTGGTTCATGTGAAGGAAACCATCAGCAAGCCTTACGTAATGTAAGTTTCTCCTTCGTGGAGCACGTTATTTCCTTGGGGCGGGAGAAGAGAGCCTGGCTGAGCAATATCTTCCACCACTTTAGCTGCCCCAGGAACCCTGGGATCCTTTTCTGGTGTGTGTGATTGTGTGATTACAGGTCCACCCCTTTATATCCCACAAAGCCACCTTCTCTTGTTCAGTTAGGGCAATGTGTGGGGAAGGAGCCCATCCATGTTGATGATGTCATTCTCTTCTCCTGCACACTAGGGATGCTCCTTCTCTGAGTGCAGTGAGAGAATGTGCCTCCCCTGCCCTCATGTTTTACTCTCTGGTGATGCCACAGTTCAAGAGGGCCTGCAGGCATCCTACCTCCCAGCCTTCGGTAGCTCCTGCATGAAATGAATTGAGGGTCTCTATCAAAGGCCTCCCTATTAGCATGATAATGACCTGAGAGTCCTAGGTTGTAGACTGTCCCCAGAAAATCTTTCCATTGTGCACATCAAGTGTCTGGGTTGTGTAACATGCACTCCATTATATCTTTGCAATAGCTGTGAGAGGACCTAGGCATCTGCATTTTTTAAAACTTCCCTGAGAACCACATTACCCAGGCTCCCTTGCAAGCTGAATGCTGTTTGTGCTGATGGTGGGGAAGGCACCACCGAAGATCAGAGGGTGGGTCAAGGGTATTTCTCCCCACACCTCCAGCCCCCCTCTCATCCCTCCCTGCCTTGGGACCACTCTGGCAGTGGTGGGTTTCTCCATGACCACAGCTGCAAGTATTGATAGAGCAGGGCCTAAGGCATTCTTTTTTATGTTTGCACTCTCTCTCACATCAAGCATATTGAAATTTACCTGCTTCCCACATTAAGTATAATTTTAACTGTAAAACTTTTTGAAAGAGTTTGTATAAATTTAACAATTTTGAGCTTAGGCATAAGTTACGCATTTTATTCACATAATTTAAACTTTTTTGCATTTACGTATAACTGTATAAAAGTCTGAGTTTCAGTTGACTCATGGGCATGATGTCACTTAGATAAATATTCATTGATTATATTTTTTTGAAAAGTTTGCTGGGAAATCCTTCAGCCAGGGTTGAGAACCACAGCCTGGGTATGTCCACCTGCGAAGCTGAGCAGGCCCCGATATTGGAGGGCCCAGGCCAGGCCCATCATGAACCATCTACTTAATCTCTTTGCCTAGGGAGAGCCCTGCTGAAGACTCAAACTGGGTGAATAAGGTCTTCAAGAAGAACAAGCAAAAGACAAATGGCACCAGAAAAGGCTTCCCAAGACATCCGCGATCCAAAAAACCAAGCAGCAAAGTGCAGTGAGCATGACTAATGTTCCTTAAATCCCACGGAGAGGAGCAGCTTTGGGAACTGTGTTCAGGGAGATTCCGAGGCATAGAAGGGAGTGGAGGGAAGTGGGGGGTGCGGGGGGAGATTGGGCTTTGAAACAGACACATCGGACATAAAATCCTGCTCTGCCACAACTCCACTCAAGGATCATGGTTGGAATACTTGCTCTCCCTGAGCTTCCTTTTCCTGTAAAATGGGGATATCACTTCATAAGGCTGTGAGTGTTTACTGTGATCAACGATGTAAATTGCTCCACAGAGTGCAGAACGCATAATAGCTCACAATAAGTAGGTATTATGTTTACATGATTCCCAGAGGTTAACTGGCTACCTCCCAGCTTCTGAAGAGTTGCTACTTAATAACAAAACTAGACAGGCTGGACGCAGTGACGCACGCCTGTAATCCCAGCACTTTGGGAGGCCGAGGCAGGTGGATCACCTGAGGTCAGGAGTTCGAGACCAGCCTGGCCAACATGGTGAAACCCTATCTCTACTAAAAATACAAAAATTAGCTGGGCATGATGGTATGCACCTGTAATCTCAGCTACTTGGGAGGCTGAGGCAGGAGAATTGTTTGAACCCGGGTGGCGGAGGTTGCGGTGTGCCGAGATTGCACCATTGCACTCCAACCTGGGCAACAGGAGTGAAACTCCATCCTGAAAAAAATAAAACAAAACAAAACTAGACAATTGAGTGCCTACGTGACACTCAACTGTTGCCAGCATACAGTTCAGGGCCCTTGTCAATGTAGGCCTGCTTCTTAGAGCTTTTTGACTATATTATGTTGTCTTTGACTTAGTCAGTCAACACTTATTGAGGACCTACTAAGTGCCAAACGCTCTCCTGGACTTTGGCAAAAGAAAAAATGAATTAAACTCTATCCCCACGTTTCAACAGTTAACTCCTAATCTAACTTTAGACAAAGGTAAGAATAGGACCTAGGAATTTGATGAACTTTGAGCCCCACCTAAACGAAGTTTTAATTTTTTTACTGAGTCATCATATTTTAATTAAAGCCTCATGTGTATATACAAACACACTCACAAATTCAAAATGACAGCCTCAAATTCAAACCCAAGCTGAGTATTATTTACAATTATTTCATTGGGTTATCAAAGTACTCTCTGAATTGGCCAGGCATGGTGGCATGTGCCTGTAGTCCCAGCTATTCGGGAGGCTGAGGCAGAAGGATCGCTTGAGCCCAGGAGTTGGAGTCTGGCCTTGGCAACATAGTATTCTCTCAATGGAAGAGATCCACCCTAGTATTTCATTTACTTCAAGTCTTTGTTGTTCAGAAAAAGCTCTAATCATTCTGCACAACATCTTCCTGGTTCTTCTTGTCCCAAGTGGGATCCCTGGATGGGCACAGAGATTTATCAGACAGACAAGGGTCAGAGGCTCACCCAGTGACTAAAGGCCCACCTAGAAGTCTAAGCAATGCACTTGGTGAGTGGTGGGAAGCAGGATGGTAGGAGAGTCTTAGAGCTGCTGCAGGAAGTGGAACAAACCACATGTTTTTTCTGGATGACAGGTGGGTAAGGGAGGGTGCAGGATGGTAGCTAGAGGTCCCTGGGTTCCTGGGATCAGTAGTCCCACCCTGGGATTCTTCTCATTCATTCTTGATCTCCAGCCCCAACACTTCCCTGACCTTTGAGTGACCTTATCTCTTTTTTTTTAATTTTTAAATTTTTTTTTTTAGAGATGAGGTTTCACCATGTTGGTCAGGCTGGTCTTGAACTCCTGACCTCAGGTGATCCACCCGCCTCAGCCTCCCAAAGTGCTAGGATTACAGGCTTGAGCCACCACACCCAGCCTAAGTGACCTTATCTCTGTCCCTAGGAGCTCATGGTTAAGTTCAGCTGGCTTCGGGAAGCCAGGCGGGTCTGCAGTGGGTGTGGGGAGCCTCCCTGGGGCTAGGAGCACTATCGGAAGCCAAGCCCAGTCTCCAGTTCCTTGATTCCAGCGCCAGCTCTCTTCCCACTGCGGCAGAGCAGCGGGAACTATGCAGTTCAGTAAGAGCCACTTTGGTTGACAAACCTCCTGGGAATGAAGGTGCTTTACAAAGAAGCAGGCTGTGATAAAAAACAAACAAGACAACATTCATAAACTGTGGGAAGCACTGCTGTCATTGGGTCACACCTTCTGCACCAGGCAGGTGGTTGTCTGCTGCATTCCTTTACAGAACAGATGATGAGCCTGCCTGAGGCGGCAGTTTACCAATTGATGATCCTAAGCAATTCCAAAGGCTGGGGCAGTGGGTAGACAAGAGCAGCTCAGTGTTAGGGATAGAGAAGGGGGAGTGATTCAGGAAGAAGAGAAATCTGCTCATTTCCTCCCAAACTGCAACCGCTGTCACATCCATGGGCTAGTCCTGTACAAACTTCCCGTCCCCAGCTGACATTCCCGCTGACGAGCAGAGAGAGGTGCTAGAACAAAAGCCAAAGGGTAGATGTCCCATGCATGAATCAGTGTTGTTTTTTAATCAGAGGTCGAAATTCATACTCTGCTGCAGACTGCATTAGTCAGTTATTGCTGCTACGATAACACTGCATAACAAACATCCCCCCAAATCTCAGTGGATTACAATGACATTTATGTTTCTCTTTCATGGGCCTGTGTGTTGGCTGGGATAGCTCTGCTTAGGCTGCAGGCTGGGTCAAGTCTGCTCCAGGCTGCTTTCATTCTAGGACTAGCAGTGATGTCAGCCTTGCTCTTCCTCTGGAGCATGGCTGGGTATACGCATCGGCCTCGCTTTCCTCTGCTAGCCCTGGCTCTCCTCCAGTAAGAGAGTAAGAGTTCAGTGTTATCTTACTCTGGATTGTGTGAAGAGACAGAGTGAGAAATTGAGAGACTGCCTACAGGCTACAAATGGAGAAGGAGGACCCCATCCTGCCCCCAAATCCTCCTAATTGCCGCCAAGTCTATGACACCAAGTTTCCACCATAAGAGATCCTTTTTTTTGAGTTTCTATGGAATTTCCCCCATTCCAATATGAATGTAATAATCATAGCTCCAACTTACATAGTACTTATGTGCCCAGCACCACGGCACAAAGAGGCTAAGTAACATGCCCAAAGTTACACAGTGGTAGGTGGCAGAGCCAGGATCCCGATCCAGGTTTTCTGTCACCAGTGTCTTGATGTTCCAACTTAGTGATATGGCCTACAAGGGTGGTGGGAGCACTGGATTGGGAGTCAGAAGTCACAGGGGTTAGCACTGGTTTCTCCGTTCTGGCAAGTCACTTTACTTAGAGGGAGTTTCAGTTTCTCTCTATAACATCAATTCTGCCTCCAACCTATGGTTATTTGGGACTTAAATGAGAAGCTGAATGTGGAAGCATCCTGTGGAATTCCAGGTAACAAAGACATGTCAGGACCTTATGACTAGTGCCCAGGCCTGTGTGGGACATTTGGGAGGGTCCCGGGGCAGTGTGTAGGACTGGGGCACCAAGAGAAAGGAGCAGAGAGAACATATCTGAAAGCATGGCTCCTCCTAAGAGCTTGTTAGGAATGCAGATTCTTGGGCCCACCCTGCACCTACTGAACCAGAAACGGGGCTGGGGCCTGGCAGTGTGTATCTTACATAATCCACCAGATGACTGATGCACGCTGGAGTTTGAGAACCACTGGATTACTATAGAATAGAAGCACAGAGGAGAGGCAGCTAATTCACTCTGTTAGCTTGGGGATCTCAATGAAGGCTCCCGGTGGAAGTAAGGAAGATGAGCAGAAGTTAGGCTGAGAATGGGGGGTATGGGAGGGTATTCCAGGAACATGGGATGGCTCAGAACAAGGAAATCGTCTATGCAAGCAGTTAACTGTGGTTGCAAGGGAGGTAGAGGAGAGGCCTGGAAGTGAACTTGGTGATGTGACAGAAGGTAGGTCAAGCTGGCTTGGATGACCGGCCAATGCGGTTGGACTTCCTGTGTGGTGCTGGGGAGTCATCGCAGGGTCTAGGCAACAGAATGATAGATTTGAAAATTATGGAGATTTGAAAAGTATCCAAGAACGTACAAGTCCACATCCCAGCATTTCTCTGGTCTCCGCAAGTGTCTTCCTCCAATTTCCTAGAGAGGGCAAGTACTTTCACCGGGAGCCTTCATTGAGATCCCCAAGCTAACAGAGTGAATTGCCCAAAGTCACACAGCAGGTGGAGGCAGAGCTTGGAAGTGAGGTCTTCTGATTCCCCTGTTGTCTCCCTTCTTTTCACCTGTGCTTCCTCGGCTTCTCCCATCCAGTTCTGCTCCCTGCCCACTCAACTTCCCTCTGCTCTCCACTTCTGAGACAGTTTGGGTCACCTACAGACCTCATCCCAGCCGGATCCAGGAATGCAGCTGCCCTGAGGTACGGAATTCCTTAGAATGACCTTGGAAGGCAGACACTGCCTGTCCTGTTCTGAGATGCTGTGGCAAACCCCTGGGTCTCATTGATCCAGCTCCTTTTCTTCTCCCACCTTTCCCTTCTGGGTCACAGTCAAGGTCAACACTAGCCAGGTAGCACCTTGTGTACTAAGAAAATAGCACCCTTTCCTGGAGAACCTGACTACTAGCTGCTGGAAAATTGTTGTAATATACTGATTTTGTTAGAACAAGACACTTGACTGCCAACTGCTAGAAAACTACAAAGAACATACAAAGACATGCATAAGTCTATGAATTGCCTGCCCCCTTTATGTGGCACTATACTCTTATGTAATGTAACATCTGCACAACTGTAGTCAGCCATCTAGAGGCCACTCCAGCCCTATCCCCTTCCTAAAAAACCAAGTATCAGTTGAACTTTCATAAATGGGATGATGTTTCAAACATCCTTGTATCACCTCCCACTGGAGATTACATTGCGAGCAGCAAAGGACCCTCGTTTAATAAAATGAACCCCCTCACTGGCTTTTGGTGTAACTTGAGATTTCCAATTTCCATGCATTGGCTATAAAAGGCCTGGATGCTTGTTCAGGGCTGCCCAAGGTGTATGAACCTGTAAGGGAGATCCTCGGTGGAATTAAGGTTAGCAAAGTCCTAGATGGGGAACTCAGAAATGACAAATCTGTCCTTTTCCTAGGAAGCTGTGAGCCGAGAGAGAGAACCGGAGACGGCACGGGAGAGAACCTGAGGACCCTGAGGCCAAGCCTGCACCCCACTGCTGTCGGGCACACTCCCCTGACCAGAGGACCAGAGGCTACACCTACTGCCAGTCCTGATGGTGCCCAGGATCTGTTTCCATTCCAGGGTGAGCATCTCAGCCTCCCTGCGATCCTTCCAGCCCTTCCACTTCCCTCCTCTGGACAGACTGATGGACACCAGCACTGACCGGCGCTCACAGACCTTCCTCCCAACCTTGGCCTGAACTCGCTTCTTTGAGATGGGCCAGATCGCTTCTAGTCTCCCCAGGATCCTGTCCAAGAGCACAGCTCTTGGGGGCCCAGCAGGACTGAGCCCACGATACACTCCCTCACTCCCGCAGTGGCAAGAGCCCAAGTTCTGTTTGGTTTTTAATTCTCACAGTGTACTAGCGGCTTGACCTCAGCTGGTCACTGGAATCACTGGCTGAAGTTGGTCCGGCAGCCCAGGCATCAAGGTCTTTGGAGCTCCTCCGGGATTACATGGTGCTACGGTGTTGAGACAGGCGGCCCTGGAGTCCTGGGTCCCTGTAGAGGAAGAGGGAGGCCAAATGTCCCTCCCCCGGAGCCAACACAAATGAGGGTTGACCCTGTCTGCTGTTCACACCTCAGTGAAAATGTTCCATGGGGAAGACAACTTCAGCCTCAATTTTTTCCAACTTGTCCAGAAAATAATGAGCCCCCCGCTGCTCCCCAGAGAGCAGACAACCTCCAGTCCCGGCCAGGCCCAAAAAGGAAGCCCCAGCTGCCCGCAGGCCTCAGGTGTATTTGCTTACCAAATCCTGAAATGCAAAACCCAGAGTGAATGCGTGGGGGACAATGCTAACCGGGTCTTAGGAGCCTGGGGAGGCCATATGCAAATTTGAGCCTGGTGGGGTTGGGGATTTAGGCGGTTAGGGCACAGAGGCTGTGAGGGATCCCACTTAACAGGGCCATTTCAGGGAACAAAATGTACCTTTGGGAGGCCTGAGAAGGGTCAGAGTCCCAGGGGTCTTGCATCCTCTGACTACTCTGGTTGATCTGTGGCCAGACCAGTCAAAGGAAGCAGCTGCGGGTATGTGTTGAGGGGAGACTGACCGGAGAGGCCCGCCTAGCCACAGGCCTTTCTCCCAGGAGTGGCCTCCATGTTTGCAGAAGCCTGACGCCTGGGAACCAGAGAGAGGGGGTGTCCTTTCCTGCACAGCCCAGGGATGCTTATTCCCTGGGACCCAAGGAAAATGTGAACTTCATAATAATCATTGTTCTTTTTTGAGACGGAGTTTCGCTCTTGTTACCCAGGCTGGAGTGCAATGGCGC